AAGAAAGCTTTTTCCAGTCCTGTAAATGCTGAATTCCAAAACATGCCCTTGATTGCCCAAGCTGAGCAGGGTGGGAAAATACCACGTCCAAGAAAAGAGCCAAACAGTTTTACTTCATCCACTCTCACAACCTGCCAGGGAAGTTCACTCACAGGCAGTAACTCAGCCCAGCAAACAGGAGCAATGTCACACTGCTGATCTCAGGCTGGGCAAAGCAGAAAATCAATGAGGTGCTTGGGATTTGTGTCAGTGACAGGGAAAGCATCAAAGATAAACACAATGGATTTTTACTTCTTTTCATCTGTTTGCTCCAATCGAGCTGAGATGATGCTCAGTTTATATTCCACCAAGGAATGAGCCTGAAGATTGAAGTACCCTTTCATATCCTCCAAATTCCTCCTCCTGCTCCTTCCAGTGTCTTTGGCCTTTTTTGAATTTCCTTAACAAGTCTTCTCTCTGGCACAGAAGAGCTGTTCTTCAACTGAATTAGAATGGGGCAGACTGCAGGGCCCACAGGTCCCAGCAGCTTACAGGGCAACTGAGAAAAAACCCAGACTCCTCAATTGGCAGATAAAGAACTAATCCCAACAGAAAATTTGTTTTCCATAATATTGTGCATTCTGCAAAAGGAAAATGGAAGAGGCTGGAGGGGGCTCAGATTGTACTCAGCAATCATTGTTATACTGTGAGACCTGTCTGCAAGGAGCTGAGCTGGGCCACACAGCATCCCTGTGTGAAAAACGAGGTGCACATAAGTTTTATAGAATTTAAAAGTTTAATAAAAAAAAACAATTAGGAGAAAAAAATAAAGTATACAGGCACTGTCTCTGCATTCAGCCAAGAGAGCACACCTTGCTGACAAAGGATTATCCCTTAAAAACAGAACCCTACTACATATCCATAAATTCTCATACATATTCATACATTCTTCTTAGGATCTTTGGTGTTCTTCTGTTCAGTTTTCTCTTGCCCCCTTCCCAATAGATCAATCCTCTTGGCACCATCGAGATTTACATTCCCTGATACCAGAAATGCAATAAATTCCTCCCCCAGAGTTCTGGTCACTGCTGTCTTCATCTGGATAAGAGAGTTTACAAAAGAAAAAAAAGATCTCCAGCTATCTTTTTCAGTCTTTGGGTTATACAGACAAAAGTTATTTTTGTTTTAATGCTATGTCATAGCTTAACATATATGTATTATACCACTATTTCTAAGTTTCATTAATAACAGAGATAAAAAAGACTATATTATTACAGCTAAATTTTCTAATCTTATACATATAATATTCATTATAATACTTGTGAAAAGCCAATAATATGATATGCATTTATAACACCTGGACCCATTAGAGAAAGTCAAACCTCATCCAGGTGAAGGGACACCACAGGAGCCTGGTCTGTCTTGTCCAGCACCAGCACTAGCCAAAAACAAGAGCAAAGGAGAGAAAACTGCAGCTAGAAATAGCAGATGTAAGGATTATTCCTCACTCAGGACCATTTCACCCTCACCTCATTAAAAGAGGACTGGGATTTGCACCTCAAATGCTGTTTTCTCTCCCACATTTATTTTTAAAGCCTTTCTCTCAGGACTTCAAGCACACATTCCCATGCCCACACAGCTCTGATTTGCTGTGATGTGCTCCAGGGGCAAGCTGCACAGGATAACTTGTCCTTTCACATTGACCCAAGAAGCGTGGTAGGGAGGAAAGAGAAAAAGTATTTCCTTCTTGTCACATTTGAATCACCACCAGCAGCTGTGGGATTACAAAACCTGGCTGCCCTCCCTCCCTGAATTAAGGGTCAGGTCCCTTGGTCCTGCAAGAAAACAGTTGAGCCATGGACCTGACAATTAACATGTGAGACAGGAAAGAACCAGGGCTCATTTTCAACTTGTCAGGGCCCGCAAAATAAATTACAGAATAAAATCCCAGAATGACAGAATAATGAGCAATTCATTTGAAATGTAAAATAAATAGGTAAATCTCTAGTGAGCTGGCAGAATAAATGGGATTCAGCTGACATTTGGTGATTAAATTAAACAGTAATGACCTCATGAATAATGGGCTACAGGATTGAATTTGGAGGGCAATATTTTCTTAAGTGGGGGCAGAGGGACAGCACATCCAGTAAGAGGCAAGCTACACTTTTTGCATTATTTTCAATGCTCTGCACAAATTCCCCACTTCTGAAAAGCTGCAATGCCTGAGGAGGACACAGCCCTCTCATCCCAAGCTCTCCAAGATCCCCAGCTCCAAAGGGGATTCCTCCTCTCCCAGCAGGCAGCTGCAGTGTTGGTTCAGGGCATGAATAGGAACACAAATCCTCCTGCTCCCTTTGGAGTGGGGAAAAAGTTAAAACCAGCAGTAATTAAAATTGATTGTAATTAAAAGTAATTGAGGCATGCATGCTGTGCTCAGAGAGACCCACCCTCACCTGTGGCCCAGCCTGGGCACACACTGTCCTCTCTCCCATCAATCCACACCAGGTCAGGGCCAGCTTTCCCAGCTCTGCCCTCAGCTGCTGCTTTTATGTTGATATTATTAAAGGATTATGTTATCAGGGCTTCTCTGGTAATGGCAGCTGCTGTTTTTTGACCTGCAGCTCTGAGCTTGGTCTTCTCAGCCACAGACAGAGCAGTCACTGACCCCAGCTGCTGTTTTGAGCTGAATTCATTCACCAATAAATGAATGAATGCCAAGATGCCTTCCCCAGTCTGCTGCTGGCCACCTTCTTCTTGTTATAAATGCTATAAATCATATGCATATAAATGTTATAAATGTTATAAATCATATTATTGGCTTTTCAAAAGTATTATAATGAATATTATATGTATGAGATTAGAAAATTTAGCTGTAATAATATAGTCTTTTTTATCTCTGTTATTAATGAAACTTAAAAATAGTGGTATAATACATGTATGTTAAGCTATGACATAGCATTAAAACAAAAACTACTTTTGTCTGTATAACCCAAAGACTGAAAAAGATAGCTGGAGATCTTTTTTTTCTTTTGTAAACTCTCTTATCCAGATGAAGACAGCAGTGACCAGAACTCTGGGGGGAGGAATTTATTGCATTTCTGGTATCAGGGAATGTAAATCTCGATGGTGCCAAGAGGATTGATCTATTGGGAAGGGGGCAAGAGAAAACTGAACAGAAGAACACCAAAGATCCTAAGAAGAATGTGTGAATATGTATGAGAATTTATGGATATGTAGCAGGGTTCTGTTTTTAAGGGACAATCCTTTGTCAGCAAGGTGTGCTCTCTTGGCTGAATGCAGAGACAGTATCTGTATACTTTATTTTTTTCTCCTAATTGTTTTTTTTTATTAAACTTTTAAATTCTATAAAAATTATGTGAACCTCGTTTTTCACATTCTCCAAAAACTCCAGGATCCCCAAGGATCCAGGGCCAATCTCTCCTTTCTCAACCAAATCCTTGGCAGCCTGGGGAAGGACCTGATTCAATGAGTTCATTTCTTTGTTTGCTTTAACTTTGTAATTCACCGAGAAAGATGTGAAAAGTGAAATTTCCTGTTGGTTCAAGTCCAGAAAATTCTGGTTTGTATCAAATGGAAGAAAAATAAAGACTTTGTTTTAAAACATACTTAAACATTTCAGAACAAAACACAAATTCTGAAACTTAAAATATTTATCTTCCTGCCTCACTTCACCCTCCTGGCACCAACTTTGGCTCAAAACTTCATTTCACTTTTTTTTTGAAAAAAGCTTTTTTCCTCAAACTCAGAAATGCAATATTGAGGGACAGAGGTTATCCCAAGATGGGAAAAGAGAATAATTAACTCATCAAGATAGCATCCAGTGTGGGAAGTATTGCCATAGTTTGCTTAACCTACATCACAAAACATAGATGATTTAGTCAAGAAGAATTCCCTTTACTAATGCAGAACAAACTTGCTGGTCTAATAACTTCTCCCCCCCTAAAAATCAAAGCTAAGCAGAAGTGTTGCCACAGGCCAATAAATTGAGAGCAGGGAAATAAATCAAGACCTACAGAGATATAAAACCTAATAATTCTATTAAGACCAAGTTAAGACAATTAAATACTGGTGAGACATCAAAAAGCTAAGTAGCCTGAAGATGATGATTTTATAAATGAACCAATTCATTTCAATCTATGCCCTCATTAATTACATTTAATCCTTGATACACATCTCAAGCTCCAAACCTCTCCTGCTGGAAGTCACAGTCCCAAGCATGTTCTGCTAAGAGAGTCACTGGGGAGAAGTGCTGCTGTCTTCACCTGGATCAGTAAGGAGTGAGTGTGGTTGAGGAGCCTCAAAAGGTCTCTTCCTCCATACCTGCCTAGCACACAGGCTCTGGACCTGCCAGGACCTGGAGATCACTCCCCCAGTTCAGATCCAGACCAGCAGCACTGGTCTAGATCTGAACTGGGACTCTGGTTACAGGCTACATAGCCCATTTCATCCTGCAAGCCAAATGCCTTCAGAAAACCAGCAAAGTTGGTTAATTATTATTTATAGTTAATATTATTTATAGTTAATATTATTTATAGTTAATATTATTTATAGTTAATATTATTTATAGTTAATTTATGCCTTAGCCTGTGAAGTGATGGACATTCCTCTCCTGTAACACAAGGAGCAGAGTTATCAGAAGAGAAAGTTACTTACGTGAGCAGCACCAGTCATAAAAGAGATGAAGAGGATTTAAGTACACAGCTCTTCACAAAGCAAAATCCCTGCAATATTCCTGTAAAGGCTGGAACAGCCCAGCTCCTGTGAGCTCTGGGTAATGCTGCCTTGGACAGGTGTCTCAGAAAAGCTATCCCAAACTGTGACTGATCCCAGTCACACTGCACTGTCAAATCAAATAATAAAAACATCAGATGGCTAAATCCCTGTACATCAGCTCCTGATGCCTCGGCTGAGAGACCAAATTTCTGCTGATTCTGTTCCAAATCACAATATCTTGGAAGAATAGGACAAGTTATACAAATGAAAAATGTGACACAACTTACCCTCTCCTAACCTCTCTCTCCCCACTGCCCTCCCAATGCTCCTTCTTCAGTATCTCCATGACTATCCACACCCTCCTTCCTTCCTTCTTTCCAGATCTTAGATTTATCTGCACAGCCTCAGGGATTGAGAACCCTGACAAAGAACATCTCTCCTTGAGACAGGAATGGAATGTTTGGAGAGGGATGATTTGGGTGGGGAGATTTGGGAAGGGAAGGTTTGGAGAGGGATGATTTGGGTGGGGAGATTTGGGAAGGGAAGGTTTGGAGAGGGATGATTTGGGTGGGGAGATTTGGGAAGGGATGATTGATGATTTGGGTGGGGAGATTTGGGAAGGGAAGGTTTGGGAAGGGATGATTTGGGTATGGAATGTTTCAGCAGGGAGGTGTGGGAGGGGATGATTTGGATCCTGATAATTTTGGAAGGGCTGATTTGGGCAGGTGTGGTTTGGGAAAGGAAGATCTGGGTGGGGAGGATTTGGGAATGGAAAAGGAAGGTTTGTGAGAAGATGGGATTTGAGAATGGAGGTTTTTGGGATGAGGATATTTGAGCAGGAATTATTTGGGGGAAGCAATGATTTGGGTAGGGATGATTTGGGTAAGGAAGTTTTGGGTGGGGAGGATCTGGATAGGGATGATTTGGGTGGGGAATATCAGGGAAGGGATGATTTTGGAAAGGGAGGTTTGGGTAGGGAAGAGTTGGGAGGATTTGGGATGGTCTGCTTTGGGTGGGGATGATATGGGGAAGGGCTGATTTTGGATGGGGATGATTTGGGAAGTTTTGTGAGGATCTGGGAAGAAATGTTTTGGGAAATGAGGATTCAGGAATAGAAGGTTTGGGAAGGGATGGTTTGAATGGGGAATATCTAGGAAGGGATGGTTTGGGTAGGCAGGATTGGGGAAAGGATGATTTATGAATGATTGATTTGGGTAGAGCTGATTTTGGAGAGGATGATTTGGAAAGAGACGTTTTGGGTTGGGATGATCTGGGAATAAATTATTTGGGTAAGGAAGATTTGGGAAGGGATGATTTGGGAAAGGGATATTTGGGTAGGGAGGGTTTGGGTAGGGAGATTTTAGAAAAGGAAAGTTTGGGAAAGGCTGATTTGAGTGGGGATAATTTAGGGAGGTCTGACTTGGGCAGGTGAGGTTTGGGTAGGGATGATTTGAGAAAGGAAGGGATGATTTGGGAAGGGATGATCAGGGTAGAAATGCTTTGGGAAGGGAGGATTTGGGAAAGGAATGTTTTGGAAAGGATGATTCGAACACCTTGCAGGCTTTGCTGACATTCACCCACGCACTGCCTGCAAAGCCTGGTGCTCTGCTTGAAAACTTTTGCCAAGAAATCTAAATAGGTCACAGCTGAAGTACAGCAGGGGAAGCCCAAGGAGCCCAAATACAGCACCAAGAGGGACTACAGCAAACTCAGCTGAGCATACTCACAGTGACAGAGCAACCTCACACTAAGACCAGGAATAAAAACTATCTTGGGGTGATTTTATGAGGATACTGTATTTCCTAATCCTCTGCTTCATGCCCAGAAATGGCTGCTGTAGCTTTAATGTGAATGCAGAGGATTCTGCATTCACATTAAAGGGGTGAAGGGGAGGGAGGGATTCCATTGAGGGGTGGGGAGCCTTGGGGGATCCTGTTCAGAGATTCCCTCTGGAGCAGCACGGCTGCTGTGCATCAGATCTTACACTGTTGCTTTGGCTAGATTATTTATTTTGCTAGTTTAAGAAAGAAATTTCCTTTTTTTTCCTTCCCCTGGCCTGCATCAGCAATCCTTTCAGCAGCTTCTGTGTTGTTTTGTTTGGAACTGTTCTGGTTTTCAGTCTGAAGTTGGGTGGTCGCTGATGTGATCTTCCAGGACCTGCAGGTCATTTCCCTCATTGGCAGAAAAGGGAGGTTACTGAAGCCCTTCATTTTAGAGAAAACACTCAGCTCAATGTTTTCTCCTAAATTTGTCTCTAAACCAAGACCCTGGTGCCTTTAAATAATGGCTGGCCTTGGAGTGGGTGAAGATCTTTCTCCCCCTCAGCTCGTTCTGACTGATTGCCAAGAGCCAGCATTCCAATTTCTGCACTAACCTGCTCTAGCCTGGCAATCACAGCACAGAGCCTTTTCCTCCCTCACTCCATGGCAGAGCAAGCCTTGATTCAGCAGCAGAACTGAGGAGCTCCAGCTCAGCTCCTCTGTGAGGAGTTCAGGCACCAGCAGCAGAGCTGGAACACAGCCCAGTGCTCCACTGCTGTTCCCATCCCTGGCTGCTCCTGCTCCTCCTGGAGCTGGCTCAGACCCCAGCAGTGATCCAGCACCTGGGGAGACCCCCTCCATCAGCTCCTCCTTGTAACTTTTCTCTAAAAAGTCTTTTTTCTGTTTTTCTGATTCTGCTGCATCTCTTCTGTATTTTTCTTTTTATTCTTGGATTTCTCAGCCTCCTTTGGACTGAATTCTTCTGGGATCCTCCCTCGTGGGGAGCCCTGCTTATCTCAGTTCTTGTGATTCAAAGAAAACTCCCGAGCTTGTTAGAATCTTGTTTCTCGTGTTTATTAACAGGTGATCACAAAACTGATCTCTCCAGGCTGGTTACAAGGTTAATCTTTGCAATCTGGTACATTTCTTTCTTCTGATGGTACAAACAAGGCCTTGTGGCACACTTTGTGTCTGATGCACAGAATGGCCCCAAAATACTCAGTTCTTTTATCTTTATACCTATTTTTACCCAATTAACAATAGACACATAGATTATTTTTCTTAATGACCCAATGAGCCATCACCTCTGTGCTGCACTGTGGCATTTTCTATCCAATCATTTATTACCACCCAAAAACCTCTAAGAGAAGAACATGAAGGAGAAAGAAGAAAGGACAAGGGACAACACTCTGAATCCTCCATCTTGTCTCCTGTTCTCTAAACTAACTTTTTCATACAGTGATTTAAAAAACTTTCTAATCTACACACACTTTTAGCTTTTTCTATCTAACTTCAACATTTGTTTTCATGTATCACCATGAAAACATGCTCATGAATTTCATATTGTATGAAATTCAGTGTTTTTTCTAGATCTTATAACTAAGTATCAGAAACAAGGGCACATACTCTGTATTTCAGACTCCAACATTCCTGGGCTGGCAGCAGAGTGGGCACTCCCCACAATCCTCCCCACCCTGCAGGGGAAAGGCACATTGTTTATATGAAAGCCTGGCTCAACCCTGGCATTTCAAATGCTTCTGCTCACTTTTCCCACTTAAACGAGTGGTGTTACAATAGGAGTCCCCCTGGTGAGAGCCTGATAAAGCAGATTATGTGCTTTAAGTCTGATTCCCACTAGGTCCCACTTGGCACAGTGTCAGATCTTAGCCCAGCTGTACAGTATTCACAATACAATTATACAATATTCACCAGACGTGTGCCAGCCTTGGCAGTCACTCCAAAGCTCCCCACAGCATCCAAATCCTTTTCTGGAGCAAAAGACAGCACCTTCAGTACAGCTCCCAGAGCACTGGAAGGAAAAACTTCCCCTGTCCTTACATGCTTCACCTCAGCACTACAAGGAAGGGACAAAAGCATTTTGATTATAAAGAGCATTTGCAAAGGTCAAAGCACAGTTATTACTTGTAATTACAGTGTCCCAGTTCAGCATGAGGACATCCTCTTATGCAGGTCTAGCCAGTGAAAGTGTTGTTTTTACAGATACCTCTTACCTTACCAAACAAAGACCTTTAAAAAGCTGTTATTTGCTGAATTCTGCATTAGCACATCATTTTCCAAAGTCTCCTTACAGCCTCCTGAAACAAAGCAAAGCCCAGTCCAAACAATATCAAGACCTACCACAAACAACCTTTCCAGCTATTATATTGCAGGTTTACATTCTGCACATTCAGCAGAAACTGGGCTTGCTGCAAAGGCTGCAGTTATTAAAATACACATACATTAGTTCTTTAGAGCCCCAAGAGCCACAGCCTCGACAATTTACATGCACTCATTTTCATCTCTGCTACACCCACACCTTGCTGTTGCTACCCTAAATTTTAGTGAAAAGCTTTCCAGGTTTGTTCCTGATGCAACAAAGATCAGCCCCTGGTTGTGAAGAGAGATGGAGCAGATGCAGGGTTTTTTTTATTTATAAAACCTCCCACTCTCTGCCTCCTGGCAAATCATATATCCTGCCAAGCCAGTAAACACTGAAACCAAAATTAAAATACAATAAACTATCATAAGAAAAAAGGGCTGAAAACTCACACTCATAACATTTCCAGAGATGAAGACAGCTGAGTATAGAGATGCAATTAGGAATAGAAGGAAGGGCTCAGCAATTGGGCTTTTTAAAAGGCTGTATTTGCATGCAGAACATGGTGCTGGCATGATAGGGGAGCAGTGTCTGAGACTGGGACTGTCACCACAAGAACTGGCAGGTTTTGGCTGACCTACAAGTGTTAGGGGCTGGATGGAGGGAGCTGAACCCTAGCTAGGGTCATTCCACAGTGGGAGTCTGGACAAGAAAATGATGGGGCTGCTTCAGCACCAATTTGCCCAAGTGCAGGATGAGGCCAGTGAAGATCAGGGCTCTGGGCCAAGTCTCCAGAGCACCTCATTTCTGCTTCTCCCATCAATCTTCAGGACAGACTCACGATAGATGAAGAGCAGAAACCTTCTGGTGGCACCTCCTAATGGTGACAAATGCCACACAACAGCATCTTGGTAAACAGGCACCTCACTTCCCCTGCAGAATGAGCTGGATACCTCTGTCCCCTGCCAGTCACATCCACTTTGAGTGTAATCCTTCAAACCAACTGCATCCTTCCCCTTCACAAGGGCAGTGGGCGGCACAGGGGAGCCCTGATCTCAGCCAGGCCAGACAAGCCTCCAGAAAAAGTAATAACACTGTAATCACAAGGCATATTACTCTAGCAGCAGGTGAAACCCCACATTATAAAAACCTCTTGCAGATCACATTTGCCCAGAAACCACATCAGGGGAATGTGAGTGCCCTTGAAAAGTCTGCTCCACCTCCCATCGCTCTGGAAGGCTATTCCTCACCCAGGATAAATAGCCCTCTGCTCAGCAGGGCATCAGAGTGTTTACAGATTAATTTTTCTTTCCCCAAAAGAACATCTACTCCATAAAACAACAATTAGCCTCACTCTGAATTTATGAGTGTAATTTGCAGTAGTGTTAGAGCATGGGCAGCCGTGGCTTTGGTGCAGGGGTAATTGCATGGCTGTGAATGAGCCT